ATATATGTGGGGGAGCTATCAATCACTCAACATCATGCGCTCCGGAATTATTCTCCTCATACACATTGAATGCTTAGGAACATACAAGAAACTCGGAGAAAAAGATTTTCGATTCATACAAAGAAAGTGACCGGAAGAATTCTGATTTGGAAGCAGGAGCACTCGTAATCGGATAAGATCGAATATCACAAGTCACCCATGATGCTTGTGTAAAAAGAAGTTGTGGTGGTGACGCCACAAACTCTTGACCCCATTTTTAATCGATCACTTGCATACAACCGTGCTTCCGCAACCAGATGTCTACCGAACAGTCGCGCCCTAGTTTCCAATATAGTAGATCTGCATAGATTTCAAGATCTCTGTGATAAAGAGCAGCTTAACACTCATCGATTTTGGCAATTCGAAGGTCGGCTCATGGCGTGACATGGAACAAAATTTGCGAGGCGTGTTTATGCGCTCTTGTGCGGCAAGTCTGGCGCTAATTAGCAAGGGTAAGAAGGCAGAACGTTAGACGAGGTGGTGCGAGGTACTTCTCCACCTTTGGAAGGTCAAACTACTGTGCTGCATTACTCGCCGCCATGAAAATCTAAGGAACGATCAACTTGCGCGTGGCTCCGTTCATCAAACATAGCACAACGTTTCTTGTACCACAATAGTATTTGCAAGGAGAAGCGGCTGTCGGACCACCAAGATGGCGGGAAAGGTGAGTTCAAGTAGTCGTGGGTCGCTTATTCTTTACTTTTCACAGTTTTCAGAGTACTCCGGCAAGGTCTTCCTTGAGCTGCACGATGCACAGTGCTATCCCTGATTCATCCCCGCTACTGTGACAAGGTCCAACAAAGAGGGGCTCCGAAGAAATCATGATAAGCACAAGCCACAAACTGTCCTCCATTCCGTCTCCATTTCTGAATAGCGAATGGATATCGACCATAAACAAACATCAACAACGGCTCAACTTCTTCCTAAATTGACATGCGGTCCTTGAGGTCTCATGTACTAGAGACATGGATCTCCCACAACCCCAGGCGATTTAATTAGGGGAAGAGGCCTCGTACATCCGTACCACGATCCAAGAAGGTTCAGGGGGATTGAGAATTGGTTCGAATAACCGAATGAGACCGTCCATCCCGTTGACCGTACTAGAAGATCCAGAATTTGCGAGTATAGGAAAGGACAGTAACCCGCTAGAGAGGAGAGATACTAGCTGTCTGGAAAAGCAATACCTAGCCACGGTTGACATGATATGGTTGAGATAGCAAGCCCTGCAGGAAGATTTGAAGCTTGAAGCTACTTTCAAGCCACAAAAAAGGCCTGACAACTTGACAAGGCGTCGAAGAGAAAATTTGCCCTACATGTTTCCGCTCCACGCTTTGTAACCAATGCTCTGATCCCTGGAGAATCCTGCTGCACTTGGGCGAAACTAGAGCCAAATTCAACGGAATAAGCAGGGCCGATCGGGGCCGACCATTCGAAGTCAACCATGATGTGGGTTTGGTCTGACTGGTGCAGTGGTACTTGCTTCATCACGTCAGTACTCGCGTAGTGAGCCATGAGCCCCCCTCAACATGCGCAATACTCGATCATGATGTGCCACGAGAGCCAAGCAGCTTCCACATCAGCCGAGTCAGGGACTCAGGGCACAGAGAAGACACGCTAGTCCCCATATCTCTTAGACGAGTCGGGAGCTTTCTTTTAGTGGGTCCGAGACGTGCACAACTTTGTTGGTGTGAATTTCGTTGTGAAAACATCGGGGTGCCGAATCCTGGTCGAAAAGGCTTCCTACTGTACCCGTTTAAGAGATATTGGCTCTGGAGCTAGTTGAAGAGTATGGGGCGGAAGTAGTGTAAAGTTCAAAATATCCGGCGGCCGCTGCAAAACGTAACGGGAAATCTGCACCAACTCATAACCGAGAGGGTTTACAATGGGACCCATTCAACCGGGAAAACTGCGAGAAAACTTGGTGCTGACAAGAGGCCTCGAGGCTTTGTCGGCCGGCTGTTCGGAGAGTTTCTGACTTTGGTTTGTCTCGCAGGCAGAACTTTCTGCTCGCATGCCATGACGTGGGCGAATGGCAGAAAGCTGAACCATGCGATTGTGTTGGAGGTGTTGGAAGCCCGTTGTAGGGTTATATTGTTGTTGCTGTGTGATATGGCTCGGGGCTTTTTCTTTTTTCATGTACATGTAGGGAAGTGTGATGACGGCGGGCATGACGCAGTGCGGAGTACCAGGTACGGCTACGGTACATGGCGAATGCTGCTCTGTATACGTCAACAGAGTCGCACTGGATGTCAGAGAAATGGCTACGATACGAGGAGGCTGAGAGGGAAACTCGATGGCGACGAGAAGGCAGTGCCCGTGAGAGAGAGGTGTTGGAAGTCGAAAAGTTTCCCTTGCCGTCGCACGGTCGGCAATGCAGCAGATGCTGGTCTGGTTCCGACAAAAAGGATTGCCAGTCCTGCTGCCGAAGGATGATCCGAAGGGGAAGGGGAGAGAGTGCCGGCGTTACCGATTTGGCATGGGGTCAATCATGGTGATGTTTCCTCACAGGGTGTTGGGGAATGGTCTGGGAGGGCAATGTATGTGTGTATGTAGGTATGTATGATGTTTTGGAAGGAGAGAGGAGAGGGGTGAGGGAGAGAAGACGGGCGCTGGAGCTCTACAGGAAGGTGAATATATGGAATTTGGTGTAGCACAAGTACGGCACATCTACATACTGTAGTGTAGTATAGAGTGCTCGGCAAGAGCGAGGGCTACATCGCAACTGCATCACGACGTGCCTGCTCCTGCCTCTCCTCTGCCTATGTCTCTGTCTGTGTTCATGGGCTCCTCGCTAGAAGTACTATAGTAGTCTATATTGGTCTATAGGAAGAATATCTAGGATGCTGGTACTGCAGCCTCCCAGGTATAAAAATGAACTAAGCGTCAGAATTCCTCTTTCTGGCATCAATTCTCTTGACAGTACGGATATAGCACTGTATGTCCAGTATGTACCGTACATACCGAGTACCTACCTATGTAAGTCCCTCGGTCTTCCGGGAACGGTTGAGATCACCTCGCAAGGCAAGTCTGCTCCAGTCCTATAGCAGTACTCCAGCACTCACGTACACGTACAGGACAGTACCTACGTACCTACGTATCTACGTACCTACGTACCTACGTATCTACGTACCTACGTACCTACGTACCTACGTACCTACGTACCTACGTACCTACGTACCTACGGACTGGAGGAAACAAAACATGTCCAAGACTCCCCCCGCTCTCAACTTCCGTGCGCAGGCCCTTCCGCAAGCTTATTACAACATCCTGAGAGCTCCCTAGCTCCCTCCCACACTAGGCCCGACTAGGCCAACATAGGCGTGCCAGGCATACTTACTGTATCTGGCCTCGCCTGAATCATTGCACCCTGAGAGACAGAGAGCAGGCAAACAGGAACAGGAACCTTCATCTTTCGTGCCAACGAGGAAGAACAGGAGAAGGAGAACATGCTCTTGCTCTCCCGTCCACTCATCTTCTGGTCTGGTCATAACATCACCGAATGGCTATGACCTGGACTATACAGATCGCAGCCGTACAGTACCATTGCCCCTCTCTCGTAGCAAGCCAACGTCTACGAGCTCCGTACGGTACTGCCACTGCCACTGCTACGCCTCCAGTGCCCCTCTATTCTTGGTTGGTTTCCACCCCTCAAATAGCTCCCCTGTCTGCCCACCCCCCTCCCCTCCCCAAGCTTAACCTCTTAACCTAGCATAACCTAGGCTAATCCCCCTGCGGTCCTTACCAACCCTTGAGGATCCACGACCAGGCTCAAGCTCTTTCAGCCAATGCAATGAATGCATGGCATCGAAATCATGACGGCCATCGAACGAGCTCTGGCAGGTCTGGCGTGGGGAATTGCAGGCCTCCCGTCCACACATCGGACGCTGGTCAAATCTCGAGCTAGGCTATACTCGCTCCAGCGTGCATCGTAAATGAGCATGTTATGTCGTTGCAAGTCGTAGTACTGGTACTCGAGCACAGCAAAGGTACCGTAGAGTAACGGTACGGGACTGTACTTGACTTGCTTGTTCAAACTGCGGGAGAAGAACCTCCAGGCCTGGACTCTGGACCGTTGGACGCGTCCCATCGAGCCTCCCGGTTCCAATCGAGCCTCGATGGTTTTGATAGGAACTGCCACTGCTCTACCTAGCTCTACCCGTCGGAATCCAGCCATTCGAGTGAAAGGTTCTTGTCTGCCTGTTTGATCCGCACCCCATCTTCATCACATCAACTGGTTTCAACCACGCAAAGTCCATCATAAACGGAACAGACGTGCGCTGCAGAAGAGAAGGTTCCGGGCTGTTTCCCCAAGGCGTCCCTTGAGCTGTACGAAAGCGGCGCAGTGCAGCGAATCGACGCATGCATGACATGGGGAGGCATCGGCATCCTGGCTCTTCCCTTTTTTCCCTGGCGTTGCCATCGTGAGGCACTGAAGCCTGTAGTGTAGCGCCGACCTGCGAGCATGGCGCAAACTGCCCGGGCTCACAGACGCATGTCTCTGCCGTCAACCCTATTCAGGCTGCTAATTTCTCTGCTTTCGGTGCGGTTCTCGTGCCAGAGACAAGTCTCCGCTCAGGAAAGCGTCCCAGATTGAGCCCATCGCTCCAGGAGGTCGTGGGGACGGGGGAGCAGAGTCTGCGCTGCCGGCATGCGTGTGGGCAATGGAACATCTCGAAATGGCCTCACATTGGACGGTTGGAGGTCCCTTACCCCTCCTTCTCTGCCTGCTCCGTGCCCCTCTCCTCCACCCCCTCCCCCTCCATTGACCATCCGCAAGCTCAAGGTTTGTGGTGCCAGGCTGGCCCCCGTCGTGGACGAAAGAAGAGATCCTGCCCCTGTAGCTCTGAACCCGGGAAAAGTGGCGTCGTGATAGCGTCCTTTCACAAGACCTTTCTCCATCTTCCAGGTTCAGGTTCCTCGTTCTTGCGCGCTCTCTTGCCTGCTCCTGCTCTGGCTCTGCTCCTGGCTTTCCCCCAGCGCGTCTGTTTAGCTGTGATCCACTCTGCGTATCCAATCCCTGGATCTTTCAAAGACTGCTCGAACCGTACCATTAAAAAATGACTGATCGGGTTCGCGTCCGCATTTTTCAATTCACTTCTGCTCCACGGCTGGTCCTGGAGTTGCCGTGGCTGAAGTATATAGTCCTCGAGGGGCCCTGAGGTCATCGCTTCCTCGTCCTCCTACCGAACAGACCAGCTCTTAACATGTCCATTCGACCTTCCCTGTACTAGGTGCTTTCCGTGCGGGCATTTGGGTACTGTAATTGATCAATCGAAGAACATCCTGGGTTGACGACGAGACTTGGACGATCTTTCAACTTCGGTTGTTTCCCACCTTCGTTCCTCCATCCCACCTCCAGAAGCACCCATTTCTCACCTTGCAGTGGCACTTGCATTTTGGTTGTTGAAGCGAAGACAGAAAAATTGGCATTGGCATCGGCATTGACATTGGGCAGCGTTGCAGTCGAGTCGAGTTGAGGACTTGTCAAATTTTCACGGCTGGCTCCAGTGGAAGAGCTGCTGCTACTACAACCGTCCGCATTGGGGGATTTCTGCATCGACGTTCAGGAAAAACAAATTGCCTGCTGCACCACTCATCCGCAACGGGCACATCCTTCCAACCAAATCCCCAATCCCAGCACCACTAGGACCTTCAGAAACGGGCGCCTTGCAGAACGCCTCCGGCACCTGCCAACATCGCAGCACATTCAGCCTCGCGACAAGCTGCGATCGTCTTTCGGCACCTTCGCGAGTGGTAAACAATTTTGGCCTCGCCTATCACATGAGACTGCTATTCAACCATACGCCGCCCAGGAACCCAGCAAAAGAGCAACTATTTGGTATTCGAATTTGGAACCGTCAATTCACTCTCGTCCCCTTTCACATGACCGCAAAATTTATCTTTGCCTCAAAAACTATATTATCGGGGCCAGTCGACGCTTCATTTTCTTGAAGCCTCGCCAGACAGCGACTTGAAAGAAAAAATCAAGACACCATGTCGATCCTGGATCTCCTCACGCCCTGGCAATGGACCTTTTGGTTCCTCTGGTATGTTCCGATCTCCACCTCTCTAGCCACGTCTGAGAAAAAAAAAACTCAAAGAAATCAAAACCCCACCGTCTTTGGACATCTGCTAATGCAACCTTGACTCCATAGGCTTCATCGCTATTTTCGCTTCATTGTCAATTCCATCAGCCATTGGTGCTACAAATCCGTGCCTATCCCTGCCAACCCGTCATATACCGCCAACGATGTCACGGTCATTATTCCAACGATCCACAATAACTTTGAAGAGTTGCGAGGGTCCTTGCAAAGTATCCTGGCTTGTCAGCCGTACGAGCTTCTTCTGGTCACAACTTCTGACAAGTACCAAAGACTTTTGTCATTCGTCAAAACTTTGGAGGTGCCAAATATCCGAGTATTCCATGTTCCCATCGCCAACAAGCGTATTCAAGTTTGCGAAGCTATTCCAAAAGTCAAAACATCCATCATAATCATGGCTGACGACGATGTCACGTGGCCCCGCACCATTCTCCCCTGGCTCCTGGCTCCATTTGAAGACGCAAAAATGGGGGGAGTCGGCCCTTGTCAGCGAGTTCAGCGTCTTGAGTCGGCTTCCGTGACCGAATACATCTTCAATTGGCTGGGAGCTGCTTACATTGAGAGACGAAACTTCGAAATCTCCGCTACACACGGCATTGATGGTGGTACCTCGTGCATGTCTGGGCGTACGTGTGCATTTCGCTCTGAAATTCTGCAAAGTCCTCTATTCCTCGAGGGATTCAAGACCGAACGATGGGGCAAATTTCAACTTAATGCAGATGATGATAATTTTGTTACAAGATGGTTGGTATCCAACCAATGGAAGACTTGGATCCAGTACAACAAGGAGTGCGAGATTGAGACGACGCTTGAAAATAACATCAAGTTCCTTTATCAGTGCTCGCGATGGGCTCGTAGCAACTGGAGAAGCAACTATACTAGTTTGGTCACCGAAAAGCACGTTTGGAAGTAAGTCTGCAGTCATATATCAGGAGAGGATACCGTGCTAACAAGATTAAAGGCAACAAAAATGGTCAACATACGCCTTGCACATTGCCACCTTTACCTCGCTTTCTTTTGCCTTCGATCCGCTCATCATCTTTTTGGCATTCAAAGCAACCGCGAATTGGACCCCAGAACAACAGTACTATGCCATCCTGGCCCAGCTTGTGTGGATGGCTATTAGCAAGGTTGTTAAACTTGTTGGCCTCTTTGTACGACAGCCATATGACTTGATCTACCTGCCCGTTTCTGTCATATTTGGATATTTCCATGGCCTCATCAAGCTTTATGCTCTTTCTACACTTCGCCAGGTAAGTTGTCCGCCACTCATCGTCAGTCAGAAAACTGATATTTATAGACATCTTGGGGTAGTCGTGCAGACGGTGATACCAACGACAACCACCGTATGAGTCCAAGAGCCCGCCGAAGCGAAAGCATCACTTTGCCACCGGGTAATCACCCTGGCTTGATTCGATACAATGACGACAAGTCTTTCACCACCGAAAAACTTGCAGTTTTTGATGCCGACGATAGCAAGAACGATTACAAATCAGAGAGTGATTTAGACGCTGCGTCTGATGATTCTTATGATCCTAATGATTCAAATGATTCTTCTTCCAATTCAGTTTCTGGGATGGTAGAGATCCACGGACGCTAGTGCAGCATTAACTCCGGAGATCTTTCTACCTTTTTACCGATTGTTCACATTATTTTCTCAGGATTGCAGCGTATGGGTTTTTTGATGAGATTCCGACCGAAACGTTTTGTGTTCAATAATCGTCCATGGGGTGACGTTTTTATTTGCTGGCATGCATTTTCAGGAGTCTCTAATTTCTTCTTTCGCATCGTCTGTTTGTCTGGGAGATATTCGTCGAATGCGGGGCGGTACTATTTGGGAAAATGTTCCTTGTCTCTTCTTTCTGGAATGGGGACAAATTTGGGCTGGAAAAAAATCTTCCCTCTTAATCTTCTTTCGTGGATGGAAGAATCATTTTCTTTTGGGAGTGGTGTATCTTTATATCTCGGATGATCTCTCAAAAAGAATTTGAGGGGATGCGATTTGATTTTCTCTTTTCATTTTCATTTTTCATTCTTTTCCTTTCACCACCAAAAAAAAACAGACGCCTCTTTTCTCTCTTCTATACAAAAAGGCCATTTTGGGCCACACCTATTTTCAAGAGTAGTGCTAGTCTGCTCGAACTTCATAGATGAAACGAGAACGGGCCGGGATAGAAAATGCAAAAAATGATAGAGGGAAAATTCTCTATACAACCAAGAACCTTCTTCTTTTACCACAAGCGCCTTGTTCCAATAAACTTTTCTTATATTTATTTACTAACTAATCAACTCGGCACTTAAATGAGTGTATTTTCTTTTAAGCGTAAATATGTGCTTTTTTGAAGTTTTCGTTCTGTTACAACATCGCGTTCTTTTGTGTTGTGTGTGTCTGTTCTATTTGTCTTGGCGCTGGTGTTGGTTGGTGTGCATGGGTGGCTGGGAGGTCTGCGTTTGGGTGTAGTGTACAATAAGCGAAGTCTCGAAAGCTTGAACGTGGACGTATGTGGTAGCATATTGTAAGACTTTTGTCGGGGTCATTGTATATTTCACTGGGCTCGGGTGTATTTGGGCGTATGGTTTGATACTACACATGTACATATATTGTACTATAATCTAGTGGTGTGTATCTTGCTTGCTGTATTGAGGTTGGTGGATGCTAGCTGTAGATATTGGATCCGACATGTGAATGTGATAACTCTGTTTTTCTTCTCTCTCAACGGATGTTGGGGGGGGAGGGGGGTACTTGGGAGAAATAATTGATTAATAGATTGATTGTCCTTTCTCTTTTTGGCTTTGGATTCGTGTGTTGTGGTCTTTTGGGGGTTGTAGACTGGTATAGGGTAGGGGGGAGATAATCACAGGCTGAATTCTCCTTCCCTCCCTGGGGACGAATGGATGGAACTCGAGACCGGAGGGTAATTACTATCTCTGGGCTTGATGAATGGATCTGAGACTCGAATCATGAATGAGCTGTTATAATTCCTCTGATGTAATTTAAGTTCTATTGAGACCTGGGGGATCTTACCAAGGAATCGGTAGTTTGTTGTGATGGTGTCAAACGCTGGTGGCGCTAAGCTGCATGTAGTAAGCAGCCACCAACGAGGCCGTAAATCCACAATCTTGGTAGTGGGAAGTTCTAGACCCCTCTGAATAATACAAGCTTATACGTTGGATGTCACGACTATTTGAAGACCATGGAATTTAAATCAAGTTTTCTTTCTGAGAGAAAGATTGCGAGGTTGTGACATCGTCGATTCTGATTCGGCTTTGCCAGACTTTTCCTGAAATAGCAGATGGTATCTATTTCCGGTTTGAATGGGATTTCCTCGCGGCAAGAGAGGGACATAATGAAATGAAAACTAAGGCATAGGTAGGGTACCTCGGAGGGATCAAGGATCCAAATGATACATTTTCCTGGACGCAATAGTTTCCCTACTACTCTACTTAGTAACTTAATTGCTACTCTACTCGCCTACATACAGCACAGTACAGTACAATTAGACGAAAGTGAAAAGCACGTGCAGATAAACGAATACAACGCTCTTTACGCCACAGGTTTTCTTCTTTGGGCAGGTCCGTAGAGATACTACCCCTTGGATTTGGTGTGAGTAGTATTTTCATGCAGGCGGCGAGATTGGGAGGGACCTGCATATTGATGCCGCTCCCTGGCTGTTTCTTTTTGGAAATAGTGTGGGGGAGTGGCTTGGCTGTTGTGTGTGGGTGGGATGGTTGAATATGACGAATATTGGGATTCTGGAGCGATGACGATAGTTGTTTTTGTTTGGAACTATTCGGTATTTGGGTATGGTGTTGTTCTTGTAGAGTTACATTGGATATAGGTTTTCTTCAGCAACCAAGGATGGACGCAGGAAGCATCCATACGAATGCGTCAAGTTGCAATGTTATTTGGAAGCGTAGGTACTGACAGGTATCAAAACAATCCTTGCACAAAGTAGATCGTTCTAGATCCCTTCTCCCGTTCTACGCTTTGATGTCTCTTCTCACTCGTGGAATGGAACTATCTCATTAAGGTACTGGACGGCTCTTCTTCCCCTTCAGGAACTCTGATAATGCCCTATAGGGCCAGGTAATTTCGACGACTGTGCGTTTCTGTGGGGAAATATGATGCTCCCCCCTTTTATGCTTTGGCGCCGTTGCCGGTGCGGGGTTTTTTCGTCGGGGGGACGGGTACGAGATAGTATGGAGTAGAGTGCCATGTATGTGTCTCGATATCTCACATCGTACCATTTCGACATTTCTGGGAATCCTTGATGTTGGCGTGCTTATGATGGTTGAGGTTTTCAGCTATGCGGTGTCTGGATTGGGGGTTGTTGAGATGTGAAACTGCCTCACTTGGTCTCGCCTAAATGATTGCATGTTGTTGACGTGGGAGGACAGGTCTTTTGGATCTTGTTACTTCTTTGACGTTAGCCTGGGTTGGGAATATCGTGGTATTTTCTCTGGCAAGCATCAATATTAAAGTTCTTACCCGAAGATCATCTTGCTAGCCAAGGATTAGCTACTGGAGGCGAGGACTCAGGGGGGCTGGTACGTCTACTGTACTCCGTACATCCGATACCATGGTTACTCTCATAACAGCCGTTATTAATATTTATTTTTCGAGAAAATTGGAGTCAAATAACCGTGTAACCGAGCTATAGTTTATCAATTGATAATTCTTCCCTTCTAGCTCCGACATCTGATGATTCTAATCAATCCTTCTTCTTTGAAGGCTGGTGTTGCGAAAATGGGGCTCACGTAACAGTATCTTACTATGGGTCAATATACATTGGCTCCGAAAGATCGGAATCTCACGTAAAAATAATATCAACCACGATAACCTCCCATTATCTGGGAAAAAATGACAAATATCAGGAGTGCCTGCCTCACACAATTCTCATATTTTCCCCCAATAAAATTTCCTTGATTTGGATTCATAATATATATATATTGCACTTTGGAATGTATGAACAGGGTAAGTCTGCACCAGTGACGTCTGCCAGTCCCACCTATTGGGGTTTCTCCATATTTTCTTTCGTATGGAGTACAGTAGGGGTCCACAAATGTGGTGATTAGTTGCACCGACATACTACCACCACATTTCTCCATTTATGGATCCATAGAAAAAGAGGAGCAAAGCCCAGAACTTGAGAGAATGGGAAAGAAATTTATGGATGCTTCGACGGGATTTGAATTCTGTTCGTTTGAAGGTGGGTACGAGTACATTAGCGGATGTATGGGCTTTCAAGGTGTATGCACAGGATCTTGATGAGCTGCTATTTCGAGGGAAAGTGGGGGATGGAGTCGTAGGTGGGGCTTTCCAGCTTCGAGCTTTTCATCTTTCTCTCATTCTTTCCTCTTTCTTTGCTATCCAGTAAATTTGAGTTATTGGATTTGAGTCTGAATAATGATGAGGTGAGATTTTCATGTGAATAGCCGAAGATTGGACGAGGAAAACCCTCCGTTGAATTTGGCGTTGTGATACCCCTCAACACCACAATCTGGGCCAAAGCCAGCCTCGAACCACCAAGATTGTGGGGTAAAGTACTTGTTGAATATGACAGCCACCGAATTCTCAGCTTTTTAAAAGACTCGTCAAATTCTCAGGCTTCTCTATCACTTTTCCAAAGGATGAAATAGTCATCACATTTATAAAGAGCATTCTTCCCGTCCAGGAGTTGGTTGGGTCCTCGTGTATGTCGTGTGATTCTGTATCACGATATCTCCGTCTGCTGTGCCACATTTTTCATGCTTACCACGAGGGTATTTGTTCAGCTATCGGTTTGCGGGGAAGGAAGGTTAGGTGTACACTCGGGGAATATTAGTCTGAGATAAGGTTGTGGAACTTACGTGAGTAACTGTTCTTGATTGCTGGGTGAGTCTGTTGACTCTCTTTTGAGCACTTTTGATGTCGTGGAGCCTGTGGATTGTTTCTTGTGTTGCTATGTGCGATTCATTCACTTGGTATTGGAAGGGAGCTGGAGACCCTTATTATGTCACTATAAGCACGCGATCTTTCTTCACTGCTGACCATATTTCAACTTCGACTTTTCAGCTAACTTTTGGAAGCCTCCTTCCTTCCATCATACAAGTCTGGTTATCCTATGCAAACCAAAGCCACTCAACAACATACCAAAACCCATACCTGGCACATGGCAACCAACAGAAGAACAAACAACCAATCCCCACCCCCTTCGGCACCCTCGGCAAGCCACCAACCAAGCCCCAGGAAATTCTCCTGTCGCTCACATATGCAGTGTTCAGATATCTTCTCGTCTACGCCGTGTTGCAATCACACCACCGATCCCCTCATCTTAGCCACCATCATGTTGTACACCTCTCGTCTCCGCTCTTGTCTCATTGATGTTGTGCAGCTTTCTTATGTCGTGCAACATCATGTTGTGTCTCCCACACCTATAATTTATTTCCGGTATTTCGTCAAATCGTTCCTGTTGATCATATTCAACCCCAACGGGAATTTGGCTCGAGCGAATCGCACATCTTCCATTCCATTTTTCGTAGTGTAATCTTTCAAGTTTTCGCTTTAGGTCTTTAGTAAAACCTGTTTGCTAAGACTTTAATCTATCGTCCTTGAAGAAGTGCTCCCGCCCAATTATTCGCTTGTTGGTGGCTGTCGCTTAGCGTTCGAGTAGGGCGCTTGAGATGTTGGTGTAATGTTGGAATCGTTTATGTTGTGTAGCCCACCATCATTCGAATTCGGTAGTTGAATCCTGCACGTTGACAAGGATCATTGCGTCAATATTTACCAAACCGGATAAGTGGTTAACTCATACCAGAAATCGGACGAGTGAGCAAAGAAGGCTGCATGTTGCCTAAAGATGCCCAAAATATTGTTTAGAGACCTTGCTTTTGCTCTACCTTTATTTGACGGAAAGCAGCCCTGTCATGACAGGACTTGCGAAATCTGACGGTTGTGCGATCGGTTTGGGTACTTGATTGATGTGGCACTTTATTAATCCAAGTACCGCGGCGTAATCAACTTGGAAGTTCCAGGAGACGCTGTTTGTAAAGCAGTGACCAGGTCTCTTGCAATGCCGCTGTCGGTATGCTCTGTAAAAAGATTATGTCAGAATGAAAAATACCGCTTATTTATTCTACCAAGTCCTCCAACTTTATAATGCATTTTCAAAGTTTTACAAGACGGTGTTTTGCTACCATGTATAAAGCTTTAACCAAAGTATTAGTCGCTTATCAACCAGCAATAAGCTTTGAAGAACTTCAATTCCTCGACATTACTTTTTCTCTAAACACGGTCACTTGACCTCACTTGAACCCTGCGGTTGAGTTACCAAAATGTTGGCAATAGTAACAGAAAGGGGGCTTGATCATGTGATTTAACCTATCCATTCTCGTCGGGATTCTTTGCAAATAAGTAAAAACCACACCTCGTTTACACCTCGAAATTCAGATAGTCTACTCTACCTAACTCTTTTCCATCCAAGTAGAACACAGGTGGTTTTTTTCCTTCTTTCAGATACTGCTGTGCACTTACTACTGATTTATAGAGTGAGCGCTCGATCAAATTACAGGCAATTTCTTCGCGTCTGATTTGCGGCTTCAACATGGACTAGGTAGTAAGCTGAGTTTTGATAGACACCAGAAGCTCAAGTTCAAAGTTTTTGACAAAACTAACACTCGAGGACTTGGTACTCAGAAAAGATTGACTACTTTGATTTGCGAGATGATGTAAAATGTTGTTGCAAAAGATTCTCTATGACTCCGATGAAATGGAAGGAAATTGAAGTTAACAAACATCGTTATAATAACTGCCCAACTTGAACTCGCTGTATATTAGCAAGAAAATACCTTTGTATTCTAGCTACAAGTGCTACTAGCGAGCGGCTATCTACATGGATAGTACTCAAGTGGTTATATCTACTACCTCGACTCAACTCAGATACAACTTAAGTAGTTGATTATTCTTTTCTCACGCTGCTCAAGTCCGTGATTGCCTGAAGATCTTGCAGTAATATATATAATTCGCTACGCCGCGCGCGCTTCGTATAGATACATACATCCCATGTCCTCCTCGAATTATCTACAAATCAATAAACCACCCAAAATCAAGCTGTCTTCCTCAAGTATTACAGCCTCATATCTTGGCCTTTCTTCACCCTTCGCACTTTCACCATTTTCTGACTGTTGTTCACTTCTGCCTTTCACAAATATCGTATCTTCCTTCAACACCCCCCCTTCTGCCCACTCCTTGATTACAGTATTATTTATACACGACATCAACTCAAAAGAAAAAGGGATCTAAACAACATCCCCGCCCAAAAACGCAACGTTTTCCCTCACCTCCTCACTCTCTTCACTCGCATTTCCACCAGTATACACCCATTTCAAGACCTCCTCCCAAGCCCCCGGATGTGGGATAGGGAGATCAATAAGATCACCCTTGCACACATGACTCGAGAACAGTAACGCGGCAAGGATCGGTAAAAAATGTAACGCGTATTCCTCATCTAGAAACTCATTAGCACTCAACTCAATCCATAACACGATTTCCAGGGTATAAACAGAATTAGACTTACGCAAAGCAAAAGGCCCCGCCCCACTCAAACTCCCCAAACCCTTTCCCCTCTTATGGCGCTCCCCACCCTGCGCAAAAGACTTATGTCTATTCGAGCGTCTCAGTCTCGGCGTCTTCGATGTCTCTTTCCCGGATGACGAGGAAATCGGGATCTTAGCGCGGAAATCCTCGACGTCGAATTTCTGGTGGATGACGAAGGGTTTCCTCTCTTTTGACTTGGGGACTACACGTGCGCGGATGTTGACCTTGGTTTTCGTTTCTGAGGCCTCGGAGTCCGGGGCTGGGGAGACGGAAGAGCGACGGAGTGCGATGGGATTGATGAATACATCGGCGGAGGAGACATTGAGGAGGTAGACGCGGCCCCAGTCTCGAAGGCGCGTGTGGATGTATTCGTATGGGACGTCGGAGGCTGAGCGTCTCCGTATTTGTGGAGGAAATATGGGTGTGTGGTTGGGTCTGATGGGTGTGTTTTGTGGTGTGAAAGTGGCAGTTGTATCCAAGATTTTGATGGCGGGAGTTTTGAGAACGGACTTCGTTTTTGTGTCTTTCATTACAACATCTTCCACCTTGACCTCTTGAGGAGTGACGGTCTTTTCTCCATTTGCACTTGCAGCCCCTGATTTTGCTGCTTCAGATTCAAGAACTGGAGCGAGCTTTTGCTTGTCTTTGGTAGAAGCGAATGTGAAGTTTGCGAAATGAGAAGTAAGTGCCCCTTCTGGAGACGCCGCTGTCGAGTGACGGCGAGGGAACTGTTCGGTTTCCAGGAGGCTCTTTCGGCGTTGGGACGAATTAGCCTTTGCTGAGGTTGGAGTAGAGTCATTTTCTTGGTAATATGCATGCGCAGCTGCCAATCTTGGACTCAGCAGAGAAATGTAAGGCCTTGAAGATACAGCAGATAAAACTGACAACGAAGATTTTCGGTGGGTTGGAGGGGCGACATTGGTGGCGATGGGATCGAGGTGAGTTTTGCGTCTCCGGGTCATGACAGAGGTAGACATGATTGATGATGCAATGGATGGTGAAATAAAAAATGACATGTGATGCGGGCAAGACAAAGGATTGTCCTCAAAGGGAAGAGCCGCTCCGCTGGGTAGAGATAGCCTCAGGCGAGCGAGTCCTTCTCGAAGTATACTGCGATTCCTGCCGGATCAAAGTACCGGAGAAGTGACTTGAGATGATATAACAACCTTGAAGGCCCAGATTCAATATCCAATACAACTGAAACAGCGAGAGGGAAACTTGATATGACAATATATATCCTAGCAAGTCTGCTGGCAAGAATGAGGATTCTGAATATAGATACGCGGCTGTGTTGGGGTGGATATGTACATCCCCAGAATACGGAGCGCGTCTCTTCTATATCCTCAGTACTAGTACAAAGAAAATAAATACCTTTGGGGGTGTTTGGGCTATGCTACATGCTGAGTCAAAATATCATAACAGACAAAGGGGAATGAGAGGCAAGAACAAAAAAATGTTCCAAGCTTCCCGCAACATGATGATTGAGAGTGCTACAAATGATCCATCTCGGATCACCTGTTTCCCAGCGAGCCTCGGTTTGAGTCAGATTTTTCTGTTTGAAAAAGGCTCTGGAGCTAATTTTGGTATCCTATACATTACATACATCCCACACTTACAGGACGTATGGTGGTAATCAAGGGATCATGCAAGCGAACAAAGGAAATACATGTTCTCGACCGCAAGCAGCGAGGACCTGACGAGTACTTGAGTAAAGGGAGAGTAGAAAATGCTAGAAACGCGAATAAGAGAGAAGAGAGGTTGGATTTCTATCATTTGTGTGCATTAGTGGCAGCTCAAACCCGCGTCAATGTTCCAGCCACCCGCTGTCATGCCGGAGTTGAAACGTTGAGGGCTTTCAAACGGCATTCCTCGAAGTTTGTCGTGCGTGACGCACTGCCCTCGACTCTAATGAGGGCCAACACATATCCATTCGGATTAGTGGGACTGAAAAAGCCAGCTCTACCGGCTTCGATAACTCGAAAAGACTATTTGCTCGATTATGTGTTTTGTTTTATCAAAGATTATGCGAGGCGAGGTGGAATTGGAGCCGACATGTCGTCGGAACCGATAATATGCCGAGCGAGCTGCCGGCCCGGCATTGGCGCCGAAGCCCGCATGAGCTCTGGCATCTTCACCAACATGGTATTCATGAGATGACAACGACATCGCCCTCGACAAGCTCCGTGCAACAAAAATGTCTCGCGCAGCTGAAGCAGCTATGGCTGCAAGCTATAAAAGTCTAAAAGAGGATTTTGTCTCGGGTTTAACTGGTGGTTCGATATGGGAAATCAATTATGTCACAGCTGTAGCTCCCGTACGTGAACCACTCCTTTTTGTAACCTCACTTCTAATAATTCGTGATAGGTAGCACTTATTTTCTGGTCGGCGCTTCAGTCGCGATTCTCGATTTTTAAACCATATACCCCACTGGCATTCGTGATTGATTTCTGCTTGAATGTCGGAAACATCCTCCTCGCAACAACGGCATACTCGAAAATGCCCCTCCTCCTCAATCTCCTCATCCTCGCCCCAATCCCAATTATATATGCCATTCCCAAGGCTTCCTCCCCCAAGAAACCCAAACTCCCACCAATGAGAGAAGCGAGGGACCTCACAAGCCAGAGTCCCTTTCCTAAGAAACCCTTTCTTACATATTACCGGGGATGCATGATAGTCATAACCTGTCTTGCCATCCTCGCCGTCGACTTCCGGATCTTCCCCCGGCGCTTCGCAAAGGTCGAGAACTGGGGCACCTCTCTCATGGACGTAGGCGTGGGATCGTTCGTCTTCTCTGCGGGCGTCGTGGCCGCTCGCCCGCTACTAAAGGAGAAAATGGCAGGCAAATCCACACCTCTGCGTACACGTCTCTACCGCTCCAGCCGGCACTCGCTCCCCCTCATCGTCTTAGGATTCGTGCGTTTGTGGAGTGTCAAGGGGTTGGATTATGCGGAACACGTTACGGAATATGGGGTGCATTGGAATTTCTTCTTCACGTTGGGGTTCTTGCCACCATTCGTTGCACTTTTCCAGTCGGCATTTAAGGTGGTGCCTTCGTATGCTGCTTTGGGAATCATTCTTTGCGCGGGGTATCAAATTGCACTTGAATTCACGACTCTCAAAGCGTTTATTTTGACGGGTCCAAGAACGAATTTGTTTGATAAGAACAGAGAGGGAATATTTAGTTTCTTTGGCTATCTGGCGATCTTCCTCGCGGGACAGTCTACGGGAATGATAGTCATCCCTCGCACTTTGTCCAAAACCGCAATCCACGGGACGGCGCAACGTAAACGTCTTCTGTTAACTCTGTTCGCGTGGTCCTCGATATGGATATCCCTCTTCTTCGTAACAACATCCTACAACTACGGACTCGCCATCTCCGTTTCTCGCCGTCTCGCAAATCTCCCGTATTTCTTCTGGACATGTGCATTCAACTCTGTCCAACTAACTGCTTTCTGCCTCGTGGAAACCATCTTCTTCCCACAAGCCTACAAAAGCTCAGATTCCAAGTCTGAGAAAGAAGCCTATGAGATAGCTACTAGCAAAGTCCTGGAGGCTTACAACCGCAACGGTCTAGCTATTTTTCTTGCCGCGAATCTGGGGACGGGATTAGTTAACATGACGATCCCGACGCTGCATGTTAGTAACATCCAAGCGATGGCGATTCTATTTGGGTATGCGGCTGTATTAACGGGGTTGGCGGTGGGCTTGGATGGGTATGATATTTCGATTAAAATGTCATAATAAAGCCCTGGTTTAAACGCCCTTAAGTTATCAACTCAAATATATATTGTCCACTTACCCTGTAAATCCCCATCAAATTGCCATCCCGGAAATCACAGGTAAAACAAACAAAATCCCATCACCCACCGACCATCGAAATCGCCACCCAAGCATCATCCATACGCCTCGCATCCAAAGTCTCCTCGTACCGGCCCCTTTTCTCCAAATTACCCCGAAATACCATACCATACCATGTGGAAAATCACACATTTTATTTCTAATTTTTCCCCCTTTGCTTTTACTCATTTATTTATTTTCCTTCTAGAAGAGATTTTCCGTCATGCTATTATAGTGCTAATATCCCATCTATAGTACTCAACCTTTTAAACTCCAGCCTACCCCCTGGATTTGGTCGTAAGGCTGATGTTGGAACACGTGAGATGGAGATATATTGCTTGTACTGTATTTTGATTTATTGGATTAAGCATGTATACAAGCACTTTGGAATGCATGAACTTTGAGATCTCGATCCTTGTGTATACACTTCCTGGCTTTCTTCATGAAGATTGAAGGATTTGCGAAGGAGAATTTTTTCTTGTTGTTTTGAAATTTTGGGAGGGGATGGAAGGGTGGTGAGTGGTGAGTATGGGTTTTGATTCGTTGGAGGGTTGGTGATGGGGATGGCGATGATACTCCATGTATACTTTACTTGATATACCGTACTGTACCCCGAACCCGGGTTCGGGATATTCTTGTATCTGTTATGTATAGTAAGGCTTGTAAAGTTCCGACGAACTGGAGATATTGATTCTTGTGTGGATTGGTTTGGTTCTTTGGTTTGGTAGCGAAAGATTTGCTTTGCTTTGCTTTATTTTCGATGAGATCTGCTTTTTATATACTATGTAATATTTTCATACTTGACTTAGCTTAGCTTGAGAAATGGAGTTTTTAAAGAATATCTGTTTATGTTGAGTATTTTTAGTTTGGAAAGAAAACTGGAATGGAACGGGTAGTTATCGATAGTAAAGCTTATTATCAGACTATCGATATAGAGTATGGTCTTATAGATTAGAAATAGTGATAGGGACAGAGATAGAGGTATTGATAACGATACACAAATACCTTCGCAAAAGTTGGAATGTAAATCTCCATTTTACATTTGTATTTTCATTTGCATACTATATCGGTGCCAATAATTTACCGAGGACGGAGAGTTTTTTTTCTGTCAGATGGGAAGGTGGACGAGGGTTTGGGGAATGTGAGGGTCCGTATGCGGGTTGCCGTGAGGTAAAATTGGGAAGTGAGGATTGAGTGATAGTTTGAGGTGGCTGGTTTCTCGAAAGATGTTTTGTTTCTTGTTTTGTTTGGAGTAGGACTAGAGGAGGGGGATATCTAGCTAGGTTGCGAGTGTACTAGATGATTTTAATATCACTTGGATATTGAAAAATCGCGAGCAATCCTCATAACAACAGCGTGAGAATTCCATCGTGGAACTCCAAATCAGAAGAATTCAAGAAACGATGGAAAGGGAAACAAAAGTAACCCCCACCACTTAAACCAAACATCCCAACCCAGACCCCAGAACCAAATGTAAACGGAACACTTAACCGAAAATCCAAGTCAAGTTAGTTCAGTCCTCTTCTCTTCCCATTCCCCATCGATCTCCACATCCCATCCAGATTCGTCAAGTCGTCAGCAGACACATAAACCAGGTAACATCGTCTACCCGCTCTCGAGCCGCTTCATATCTAGGTATCACTTGTACTGTGACCTAAAAATAGACTTGTGGGTTAGTGTAGAGGGGGGCATATGCAGGTTCCCCTCGGCCCCTGGCATGTCGTGTTAAATTTCTGGTGATTGGCAATTGAGGCTAACCTCACCTGTGACTTTTGATTTATTATTGGTTTATGGGAATTTGAGAATTGGAAATTTTATGATGGGGATTATTTGGTGGAAGGAGAATTGGAATTGGAGATGAATTGTTTGTTTCCTCTTTCCCTTTTTAAATAGAATGGCAGGGAAGATGACGATTCTTTGTTTTTTGGGATAATGGGTGATAACCTGGGGAGCCAGTCCAGTCCAGTCCAACCCCCGCAGGTTGAATCTCGAAGTTGATGCGACGGCACGTGGGGATTTATCGAGGGAGAATTTGTGATTGGTTGGTTTCGCGGAGGGTGTTTGGACTGTGGATGACGGGGTGTGGTTGGCTCATCTCCGGTGATTTATGCGAAAATAAATGTGCGAAGCGAAGGAGAGGAGTCCTAGATGGAATATCTTGGTTTCTGTCTATCATACAGGTTTTTTGTTTTGGTCTGATCTTTTAGTTTGGTTTTGAGAACTTGGTTTGGGGAGGTCGATCTCCTGAAAAAAAAAGAGAAGAGATTTTTTTTTTGGATTTATGCAAGAATTGTGGAGACGGAGTTTGAGCTTGCCAAAGCTGAGCGACGGGAAAATTAAGGAGAATTGATGTCTGTCTTTGATACGGAGGGTTTTTAATACGATACGATGCGACTAGCGATGATGGCGAGTCGTTTAGAGGCTGCTGCACTGGCTCTGCACCGCGTTTCATGGTTCAACCTGGCCGCGGGTTGGCGTTCTGGGTCCGAGATGCTGCCACGTCAATGCAGGGGGAGAGTAAACAATTGATTTTATGCCTTTTGCTTGACTTTTTGATATCGGATATCAAGCGGTTGGAGGGAGGGACGCGATGGAGATGTGCACGCGATAGATGTCAACAATGCGAGGGGTGCAAGGTCTGTCTTGTGGGATGAGGGGAGATTTGGATATTTTAGGGGAGTGATATATCTTTATATGCATGTGAACGAACGTGCGTTTGAAATGCATCTTTTGATGGGGGATTTCGTGGTAATGAAGAAAATTTGGTCGAGTATATGCAAGCGAAGTCCTTCGATGGATCTAGAGGGAAAAACAATTGTAGCTGAACCATGTGCATGATATTTCATAATTTCATAACAAACTTATAGATGCTGTAGCCGCTTGTTTCTGTTGATGCTATTTCCAACCTAAAATCCATCCCCTCGTCAACTGCTGTGGTAAGGTTAGGACGATATGCTTAATATATTATTACTCCTATCGACAAGTCGCGAGCGAAATTGCAGTCCGGGATATCAGAAGTCAAGAAAAAGGATGCAAAGGAGCTGAAGAATCAAACAAGTGTAGGCCAACCGAAATATTCCACTAGATGACCCTGATGGCCAGTCGAGGAATTGATACAGGAGCCCATTCACAAGCCAACGCCAACCTCAATTGACAGCCAACTACGGGAGTCCGCGTCTAGTATAATTTAGTCTATTTCAGGGTTGCACTAAAGAACGTCAAACATCTGATATCAGTATTATTGATGGATGGATGGTATTCTTCATCCAGTATCCAGTATCCAGTATCCAGTATCCAGTATCCAGTATCCAGTATCCAGTATCCAGTATCCAGTACCCAATCCCCCTTTCTCCGACGTCTGTACAGAAATGCGGAATGGCAGGGTTGGTGTGTAGAGAATGCTTGGATGAGGTCGCGGAAAAGGAGATTGCGACCCCCCCAAAAGTTGAATGCATTGCGTTCGCTGGCCACCCAACCCGACGCTCTCCACCTGCACATTACCACCGCAGCAGTGGTAGCAACACCAGCACCAGCACCAGCCTAACCAACCCGAACCCGACCTGTAATCCTGTGCCTGTCCTGTTGTGCTGAACTTGCTCGCTCGCTGCTCGGCAAAACGTGAACGCCTCGCCTCCTCGAGCTGCCGCCCGTAAAGTAGGAAAGTCAAACTCCCGCCTTCACTTTTTAAGACGTAGAGTTTTGGTTTGTTGATCACTGCCTCACTTCGGTCATCCTCACTTGGCTATCACTCACGACCTCCGCAACGCTCCCACCACTACCACCACCACCACCATCACCCACCTACTCGAATCTGCCTGCCTCACTTGCCTCGACATTCACCTCGCGTCAAAGTACTATCCGATACGACTTGCCAATTGGCCTTCGCGGAGTCGTTCAGCAACCAACGAAAAGCCTGTCGTCTGCGCCATAAGGCCCCCCAGTCCTCACCCCCCAGAAGTCTAGCATCAACAGACCTTAGCATCTGCATCGACATCTCCACCACAACGCAACGCAACGCACTGCACCCGCAGCAATTCTCACAAGCACCCTCACCGCGGTCAACCCTCAACACTCAACCCTCACGCATCCTCACTCTTGCTCTCAACTGTCGCCTTCGCACCATGAGAGCAACCCCCGCAGATTGTTGATCCAGGCGACGATTCCGCCTCTATCGGGAGACTGACCCAGAAAATACTAGTGCCGACCAGCGCATCAATCTCGAGCGAGGGTGATCCAACAACACCACCACACCAACTCCCACGACCTGCGTGTGCGTGCGAGCCAGAAGCCAGGAGAGATGTCTTCAGCCGCACTGCAAGCCGCGCCTCATCAACCGACCTCCGTCTCATCGCATTCTCCTGTGGCCGCAACAGCTAATCGTCCTTTTACCGCGGGTTCTTCCCAGTCATCGAGAGACCCATATTACAACCAGAATAACACCTCAAACGCGTCTCCCTCTTCCAATCGCCGACCCAGCAGACGGCCAAGCGGCAATGGCGCATCGTCGAATAATAATTCACAACAATCCGCACAATATTATTCACAATCTGGCAACGGCCCCAATCCCAATTCGCCGATGACCAGTCGAGCTCCCAATAACTCCAATCCCTCCGCCTCCCCCACGATTACCGCAGCCGCAGCTTCAGGTTATCCTGTCATGGCCCCAGGAGACCACCAACGCGGTGTTCCCCCAACCGTCACACCGAGAACCTCCTCAAACCGAACCTCGACATCCGCCGCCGCTCCCTCGGCCTCGAGAAGAGAACGATACGCAGATGCCTCCAACTCACCCAGGCAAGCTCCTGGTGACGATCAACAGGAAAGATCAGAGCGCCAAAGAAGCAATGGGAGTACACAGGTGAACGGGGCCGGAGATGACTCTCGGTCCAGGAGACGAGCACAGCAACAATCGGGAGAGGCCCTGCCGCATAGACCGAGTGGGACAAGGGAATCCAGAGCCTCACAATCTGCGTCAAGACCCACGGCCATGGCTGTTCAATCACCAACCGCGTTGTCGCGAGAAGCAAGCGAGGTCTTAAATCGAGTCATTGTGAGCAAGCCCGAGGTCGATCTGGATCGGGAGCGTGAGCGCATGGCAGAAGCTGTACCATCATCTCCGCCTTCGGATCAGACGCCAAGAAGAGAAATGGCGGTGGTGGGCACTGAGGTGATGGAAGAGAATACGAGAGGTAGCCGCAGTCGACATGATCATGCGAATACTGGCAAGCGGGAGAAGAATAGCAAATTTGGCGATTACTATTTGGGCAATACCCTTGGAGAGGGAGAATTTGGTAAAGTCAAGATGGGGTGGAAACAAGAAGGGGGCGTGCAGGTCAGTTGAATACTGTTGTTATGATAGTGACTACGCTAACTTGCATCAAAGGTTGCCATTAAGCTTATCCGTCGCGATAGTGTTGGGACGAACCCAACTCGACTTGCAAAGATCTACCGCGAAATTGCTATTCTTCGAGAGATATCACATCCTAATATTGTCCGTTTACATGAGATGGTGGAGACGGAAAAGCAGATTGGTATCATTCTAGAATACGCCTCGGGTGGAGAACTATTCGACTACATTCTGAACCATAGATACCTGAAGGATAACGCTGCTCGACGTCTGTTCGCACAATTGGTTTCCGGAGTTGGATATTTGCATAAGAAGGGTATTGTTCACAGAGATCTCAAGCTTGAAAATTTGTTGCTCGACCGCAATCGGAACATCATCATCACTGACTTTGGTTTTGCCAACACTTTCAGTCCTAACGACGAACTAGGGGATGAAATTGAGTATAACCTGGGCAGCAGAGAATATGTCAAGCGCATGGAACTGGACAAGATCTTACCCAATGGGAATAGAAGAGGCGACTTGATGCAGACAAGTTGTGGCAGTCCTTGTTATGCAGCTCCGGAACTTGTCGTAAGCGACTCGTTATATACCGGCCGCAAGGTTGATGTATGGAGTTGCGGAGTGATATTGGTAAGTTTTGAAAGACTGGTTGACTTGTATTTTGCTAATTCCATCAGTATGCCATGCTTGCTGGCTACTTGCCATTCGATGACGATCCAGCAAACCCGGAAGGCGACAATATTAACTTGCTGTATAAGTATATTGTGTCGACTCCTCTCACCTTTCCTGAATATGTCACACCACATGCTCGAGACCTTCTGCGCCGAATCCTCGTTCCAGATCCACGTAAACGTGCCGACCTATTCGAAGTTGCGAGACATAGCTGGTTAAGCGAGTACTCTCATGTTGTGGGTTTCATCACGAGCAGTACCACAACCACCGCAGAAATTTCCTCAGCCACCGTCAAGTCGGAAGAACAAGAAGCACCCGGACTTGGAAGAAGTTCCTCGGTCAGAGAGCCCACGAAAACAGGCAAAGCCCCAGCACCCGTTGTTGGAGAATTGGGGAGAAAACATGGAGGAGTGGATCCAGATGCCCCAGAATCGCACCCAAAGCCCAGCAAGGACAACAAGAGAAGAACTGTCCAAGTGGAATATGTTGCTCCTCGTTCACAAACTCAACGTGGCGAGCCCGTCTCTGCAGTTGCACCATCAGGATCGAAAACCCGTGCTCGCGCTGGAAGTTTTGGCCCAGTTGAAGTGCAATCAACCCCACCTGGAACCAGAAGACAGGTATCTACGGAGAAAGCTCTACCAAGGGATCCCCCAGCTGCTCAGGATGCGTATGCCAGCCATGGAAGACGCCCATCAACATCACAACGCCCATCAGGTATGCCTCCCCCTACCCGCCCCGGACGTGAACACTCTCGAACCCTGTTGGACAAAACTCACATAGCAGCTTTAGGCGGACCTCCTGTCTCCATTGCCAGACCAAATACCGGAGGATCGATGACCTCTTTCGCAAGCCGAGGTGGAACGATACCACTGACCAACCGAGGTTCTTATAGCCAACCTGCAGCGCCCACCGTGACTGGCACGAATACACACGGTCGAATCGAACAGCCAAAGGGTTCAAAGAACTATAGCATTTCTGGTACTCCGTCACAGGATGAGTCATCTGAGTATGGCAGACCAAGTTCGCATCAAGTTCCGCCAAAGTTTCAAAAGGTTGCCGGCATGGACGAAGGTGGTCAAGGGGTGGTAGACAAGGGACACAAACGCTCAAACACCATTAGTGGATTTTTCAGCAGAACAAATTCAGTTTTCGGCAAGTCTGGGCGTAGGGATTCTACCGCAGAGCGACCAGCTCCCGAAAAGCAGAAGAAATATCCACCGATTAGCATGGCTGGAGCACACATTCCAGGACACCCAGCACATGAACCTACCCCTCGCCACTCGATAGATTCTCGTCGCTCGATATCATTTGGATTTGGAAAGAAACGAAGTGGGAGCATCAATGGATCGCAAAGCACTCTCCAAGAGAAACCAAGGAGATTCTCTTTGCTTCCAGCTTCATTCTCTCTAAAATCGATAGGTATTGGTAAGGAATATGGCACACCAGGTGCTCCACCATCGGATTACGATTCTCGACCAGACAGCCATGGAACTGGACCTTCCCAAAGTACCCGTAGTGACCCTTTGAGAAACACTAGCGGCAGTGCCCCTCATCCAGCCACAGCCGATGGTTCTTATGATCGACAACGTGATAGTCCATTGCAAGACCGACGCAATACATCTACAGCAAGCCCCACTCAACACCGATACACTTCCCAAGGACAGGTTTCAAATCCTCGATCAGGAGCTGCACCCCAATTTCTTCCCCCTATGGGCTTCCGACAAGGCGAATCGGCGATCAACACAGAATCTGAATCGTCTTTGAATGAGTATCAAAATCAACGAGGCACTGTAACATACCCTCAAGCTCCTCAAACATACCCTGATTACGACAGTGATCGTCGACCAGGAAATAGTCGAGCCAACAGTCGTGGGGTTCTTCAAAAGCCTAATCGAAAATTCGCCGAAGCTTATGAGCCTGTTCAAAATTATGGATATGGACCAACTCATACCAATGATCACGCTGGTAGTAGCGGAGCGGCTCGAAAAGTCATGGATTTCTTCCGACGACGTGGAAAGGACCGTGCTGGGGAGAGATGATCTTTATACAAGATTTTCTTATTCATTGATATATTTGGAAGATGATTGACCGTGATGCGGATTGGATTCAAATACATAAAAAACGACATCACTGGCCAGCTCGGATCTCCTTCACAAGCTGGGTGATGGCCTGGGTTGCGTACTTTGATTTTTGTCTTTGCATTGGGGAAGAGAGAGCCGTGGTGGATATAACTTGAGGGGAATTGGCTTTTGAGTTGCTCCTTTTTGTTTTTGATTTACCGACCGCTCGTGGCTGCGTTGTTTCTAATCATCATCATCATAATTGCTTGCATGAGAGTTACTCATGTGAGTGCGGAGGACTGAGACTCGAGGGCAAGCTTTTTTTCGTGTTTTTATTGTGGATGTTTTCATTTTTTTTTCCAATTCTCGTTTTTTCCCCTGTTTCTTTCTGCGGGCGGGTGCTGGAGTTTAGAAGGAGTGTTGTGCTGCAGTCAGTTGAATGGAAGGGCGGATTTGGAGAAATCAGTGCGTGAGAGAGAATTGGTGGATTGAATTTGTGCATGAGGGCACAAAGATTGAAGAAGGGTGGTCGGGTGGGAATGGAGGGTTCGTCGTTTGAGAGAGATAAAAAATGTGTATCTTATTGTATTGTGTAGTACACGTCTAGTCTGGGTCAATCGGGGGATATTGGTGGTGGATTTCTTAATTTGTTTGCTCTGCTCCTCTCTTTCCACATTTCTGTGGGGGAGAGGGGCAGGGGGCAAATGGGATTGATTGATGGATGGTTTGAGAGATTGACTTGAGGGGGTGACTAGTGGGGGGTGGGGAGAAAGTCGTATAAATGAATGAAATACTTTTTACCTCCTTCCAGATTCATTTTGATCTTTTTTTGATTCCTGCTTTCTTTATGAGTCAGGTAGTTAAGACATCGTTGTTAATAGATGACTGACTGACTGACTGATTGGGGGTTACTCACTTGAGTACGAGTACTTGTACCTGGTGGTACTGTATTATGTCGTACTGTACAATACGATTCTGAGTGGCTAAGTGGCGCTTAATCTCGGCTAAATTCCAATGCGGGTGTAAATCGAGAACGTCATGGGGGCGAGGGGGCCCCGCATTTCGTCGACATACATCAAGGAGAACACATAGGTACTGTACTGTAGGTATCTACTTTCGTCTCCATCTCGACTTCGATTTATATTTGTTGGTTTTAGAGTTTACATAGTACATTATCTCCGTCTGTCTGTCAGTCTGGACTGAATTGGACTGTACTGGACTGGATTGCACTTGACTGGACTGGATTGGGTTTGTCTGGATTTGACAGGACTGGACTGGGGTTCGACATATAAATACTAGTTGGTGTTCGTTTGTATTGTACGTACAGTAGTAGACAACATCCTCCCCCCTTTTTCTGTTTGTTTGTTGGTCCTTTGGAGCTGGCGTCAGTCTTATGGTGATGGGTGCTGACTTGATGTTGGGCAGACTGGTCGATTGATTACTCTTGATTTGGTTGTATTGAATTTTGGGAGCCAGAGGGAGAGGGAGTGTGAGATTGGATAGGATCTGAATGGTATTATAGATATCATGAGTGCTAGAGAGGACAGGCTTATGTTAAATTCTAGGGGGGGAGATGGTGGGGGTGATGTGAGTGATGGGAATGGAAATGGTATGAGTGGGAATGCAGATGAGAATTGGGATGGAGAAGACTCACCGACTACACAGCTCTGCGGGGAACTTGAGGAGGATGTGAAGAGGGTTAGAGGGGAGGATGAGGTACTAGGGGAGGGTGATGGGAAGGGTGTGGAAAAGGGAAAGGGAAAGGGAAGTGAGGGAAGGAGACCAATCATCACGCATTTGAACGCTGATACTAGTTGGTTATTTTCTATTCCTATTCCTATTCCTCTTCCGAATCCTGTTCCTGTTGTGGAAAAGCGAAGGGGGATGGAAAAGCGAAGGAGGAGGGAAAACACAAACCAAAGAACCAACCAAGAAAAAATACTTCCACATCCTAATCGACCCTTGGTTCCACGGCCCACAAAGCGATATCACCCCCCTTGTTAGCCAGCAATGGCATGTCGAGGAGAGTTTCGTGCAGAGTATAGAGGAGGTCTCTCGCCTTATCCGTCGTATTGAGGATGAGGAGTCTCCTATTAGAGACAGCGATCAGGGGACTTTCGCGAAAGGGAGTATCTACACATACAGTAGGACCGAGGGAGAGGGTAAAGAGGAGGGAGGGGGTAAAGTGCAGGGAGGTATGGATACGGATATAGATCTAATCCTCATCTCCCACGGGTTTACGGATCACATGCATAAAGAGACTCTTCTTGAGGCGTCTCCTACCATCCCTGTGTTGGCTACTGATAAGACGGCGGGAATTATGCGTTCTTGGGGGTATTTTGAGAGCGTGGGTGTTGTCGGGGGGGTTGAAGGGGATTGGAGGGGTGGGAAAGTGGAGGGAGTGCCGAGTTGGTTGGGGGTTTCTAGGGTTAAGTATCCTGGGATGGATTTGCTTTACTATCATTCTGCTTTGATGGTTTGTTTTCCTGCGAATTTTGATACTTTGAACGAGAACGAGAACGGGGATGGAAATGGAAATCATACCGAAAAAACACAAGCCCAAACAGAAACACAAGCAGAAGCAATCCTCTACACCCCCCACGGAATCACCCCCTCAAACCTCTCCCCCCTCCTTTCTGCATCCCCTAAAATCTCCATCCTCGCCCTCCTCCATAGACTTACGGATATCAAACTCGGTCTGGGCTTCCAGTCTTTCACGAATATCTTCTCGGCACAGCTTAATTTGGGAGCAAGGAATGGAGTGAGGGTTTGTAGGATGCTGGGTGTGGGGTATTGGGTTGGGACGCATGATGAGAGGAAGAGGGGGGGTGGGGGATGGGGTG